GGAGGAAGTGGTTTAAATGAAGTGAGCAGCATGTGCAAAGTCCTGAAGGATGAACTTGCCTGGTATGTTCAAGGTGCGGATAACAACAACAAAATCTGATACAGCTCAAGCAAATGAGCAAAATAGAGCCTAATAAGAAATGAGATTTAATTAACAGCCACAACAGATTGTGATTTACAGACCATTAAAAGAACGTTAGCCGTTACATCTAATGAGATGGTTAAGCAATGGAAAGTTTTGAGTACATTTAGACCACTGTGACCGCTGTGTTAAATCAGGCAAGGACAAGCTGGGAGACCAGTTAGGCTTTTGTACCCATCCAGATAGGACCCAATAATAGCGTAGACCATAGGCTCCCAGACTTACTTGGTCTACTGCCCACTTTTACTTAGCACCTCCTGGGAATGAAAAACTTTTAATGTACTGTACCCATAATCCTGGATAAAGTGTACTGTATATATCTGTTTTTGCAGCGCTCCTGGATTTTTCCAGTGCCCCTCAAGAGGGCAGTATTGCCCACTTGGGAAAACACTAGTGTAAGCCATGGTATTAATAGGAAAAGAGCCCTGATCGTGTAGTGGTTACACATTAGGCTGTAGTCCACATAGTCGGCAGTTTGAAACCACCAGCAGCTTCACAGGAGATACTGAACTTTCTACTCCCGTGGTAAACGGTTAGTTTCAGTAACCCACAGGAGGTCACTATGAGTCAGCATTGACTCCATGGTAGCGAGCAAGAAGGCTTGTGAAGAGCTCAAAATCTGGCTGCATCTTGAAGCTGGGGCCACAGAATTGGTTGAGGGATGAGATGTGGGATGTGGAATTTCTGTCACTTAAGATGGAGAGCCTTGGAAGAGCAGTGTAGGGGTAGAAGACAGTAGTAAGTTTGAAGTGGCTATTGGACATATAAATAGAGAGGCTGAGTAGACAGCTTTGTTATGTGAGTCTGCTGTTTCATGGTGTGCTTAGGGTTGGAGATAAATATATATATATAAGAAGGCTTTAAACGTTTTGTAGAAAATTGGAATTTTTCCGCAAACTTTTTGAAGATGCCTCATATATATACTTGAGAATCGTCAGTCAGTATATTTAAAGTCATGGACTTGATGAGATCTCCAAGGAAGTGAGTATAGACGAAAAAGAGAATTCAAAAGAATGTGCCCTGTGCCACTCAGCTGTAATGGGTTAAAAAGACGGTGGTGATCCAACAAAGCAAAATGAGAAGGAAGGCACCCATAGTGCAAAAAGAGGAAGTCAGGAAAATGTGATCCCAGGGAAACCAAGAAAGTATTTCTGAGGGAAGGATCAAAGATAAGGACCAAGAATTGACCATTGAATTGGACTGTGAACACCATTGAGGAGAAAACAGCTGGTGGAATGGCCAAGTGGGCAAAGTATGGAAGACCAGTTAGAGATGGGCCTTCATACAACTTTTTTGAGGGCTTTTGTGTAATGGCAAAAAAGCCAAAGAATGGTTGCTAGAGAATGACTTTGGTTTCCCCCTCCTCCCCCAAATAAATAAAAACAAACTTACATATGTTTTTTAAATGTTTGTATACTGATAGGCTGAGGGGATGATCCAGTTGAGAAGGGAAAAATTATTCAGGAGAGAGGAAGGATATGTTGAGTATGTCCTTGTATGAGCAAGAAGGGATGAAACCTAGTGAGTGTGTGGAGAAGTTGGCCATCAGAATCTAGTTTACCCACAGTAACTGGAGGGAAGTCAGAGACTTGAGACATGATAGTGGAAGGTAATCAGTCCATGTAAATACTGAGTTAACTAACTCAGTAGCAAGAAGTAATGTTGGAGAGTGACACTGAATCAGGGGCAGAAGTTCTCAAGGCATGAGGGGCAGTGACCTGGGTTTAGTAGATGACAGCAATAAGAAGGAATAGCGTATGATAGCATGCTCTCCTTGGGCCCTGCTAACCTCTAATCTACTTTCTGTCTCTGCACTTGTCCAGTGTAGACCATCCATTATATGTGGAATAGTACTTATCTGCCCTTTTCTGTCAGGTTTATTTCACTTCTGCTAAACATAAATTTTTTTAAATCATTTTATTGGGGGCGCATACAACTCATCACAGTCCATGCATCCATCCATTGTATGTCAAGCACAGTTGTACATTTGTTGCCATCATCATTCTCAAAACATTTGCTTTCTACTTGAGCCCTTGGTATCAGCTCCTCATTTTTTCTCCTCCCTCCCTGCTCCCCCCTCCTTCATGAGCACTTGATAATTTATAAACTAGTATTATTTTGTCATGTCTTACACTGTCCAACGTCTCCCCTCACCCACTTTTCTGTTGTCCATCCCCCCCATGGAGGAGGTTATATGTAGATCCTTGTAATCGGTTCCCTCTTTCTACCCCACCTTACCTCCACCCACCCAGTATCGCCACTCTCACCACTGGTCCTAAGGGGTTCATCTCTCCTGGATTCCCTGTGTTTCCAGTTCCTGTCTGTACCAGTGTACATCCTCTGGTCTAGCTCTATTTGTAAGGTAGAATTGGGATCATGATAGTAGGGGTAAGGAAGCAGTAAAGAACTAGAGGAAGGTTTCATTGGTGCTATACTGCACACTGACTGGCTCATCTCCTCCCTGCAACCCTTCTGTAAGGGGATGTTCAGTTGTCTACAGATGGGCTTTGGGTCCCCACTCTGCACTCCCTCTCATTCACAATGATTTTTTGTTCTTTGATGCTTGATACCTATGGACACCTCATGATCACACAGGCTGGTGTGCTTCTTCCATGTGGGCTTTGTTGCTTTTCAGCTAGATGGCCACTTGTTTGTCTTCAAGCCTTTAAGACGCTATCTCTTTTGATAGCCGAGCACCATCAGCTTTCTTCACCACATTTGCTTATGCACCTGCTTTTGTCTTCAGCGATTTTGTCAGGAAGGTGAGCATCATGGAATGCCAGTTTAATAGAACACCGTGTTCTTGCATTGAGAGAATACTTGAGTAGAGACTCAATGTCCTTTGCTACCTTAATACTAAACCTATAAATGTATGCACATAGATCTATTTCCTCATCCTCATATATAAATATATTTACATATGTACATGCCTTTATTTAGACCTCTAGAAATGCCCATTTGCCTCCTATTTCTTTCCTCTATTTCCTTTACTTTCCTCTTGTTCCACTGTTATGTTCAGCCTTCACTTGGGTTTCAATAATTCCTTTCAGTTACATAACCCTTGATCAAGCCCTACCAGGCCTTCTACACCCTCCTCACCATTGATTTTGGATCACTTGTTTCCTTGTCCCTGGTTTTGTTAACACCACTTCCTTTCCCCCACCTCCCCTTCTTCCATGCCCCCCCCCCAACCATCCATCCCATTGTTTTCTCCTCCACATTGTTTATCCCGCCTATCTTATCTAGATAGACCTGCAGAGATAATAATATGCACAAAACAAGACATAGCAAACCAAAGCAACAAAAGAAAAGAAGACAAAATAACAACAACAAACCAATGAAAAAAAGAAAGAAAGAAAGAAAAGCCTATAAGTAGTTCAAGGTCTGTTTGTTGACCTTTAGGAGTGTTTTCCAGTCGAGTCTGATGGGGTGCCAAGCCCTGACCCCAAAGTCTATTTTGGGTATTCCTTTGGGACTTCCTTGCTCTGCTCCCCTTGCTGTTCTGTTGCACACCCATAGTGCTTTGCCTCGGTGTGGTGGGGTCAGATGGGGCGCAATTCCCACACTATCTCCGGTATTGTCCCCTGTAGGGCTGTGGGTCAGTGAAGGATGCCAAGTCTCATAGTGGGGCCGGCCCTATGGTCCTCTCTGTGCATTGGCTGCTCTGAGCAGGGATATCATCCTCAAGCCTTGGTGGGCCAGAATGTGTTCCACTCTCTCTTCCTCTCCCTTCATTTGTTCCCATGTGCTTTGATCAGACATGTGTCTCTCCCTTAGCTGTAGCTTCAGGGCTGTCCTCTGAAGTAAATTCTTTTAGGGGGAAGGGTGGCTGTCTGTGCCTTTGGTTTTTATATTGCATGTAGCCTTTTTCATTTTCTCTTGCACTGCAAAAAATTTAGCCTAATTTTGCTATATTCACAGTAGCAACAGTGTAGCCAGAACTGAGTTACTGGCTGACAGGGGGCAGCAGTGGACTGGGCTTGAAATATTCGGTTTTCAACCAATGCACAAAAAATGGATTGAGTATGTTAATATTAAATGTACCATATAGAAGAATGGACTGCTTAGACGTGAAACAAGATGCAAGATGTTGCTTTTGAATATATTAAAAGGATATATAGTCATAAACTCTCTATAAAGTTGGTTTAGTAAATTGTAACTCTCTGAAAACAAGAAAATATATTTAAATTAAGGCATAATGACCATAAATTCACATCATGTGATATATTATTACTATCTTCACTTTCATGCAAATGAACTAGATCCTGAACTCCAAAATTAAAAGCATATTGAAATAATCATTAGTTTTTATAAAAAATCCTTTTTTAAAATTTTTTTAAATTTTAATTGTGTTTCAGCATTCCTTTTCAGAGCCTGAAAGGTGGTAGTCTTCTCAAATGTGTATAAAAAGAGTCTTGTTTATCTTGGCTGTAAACATCCAAATTTGTTGTATAACCAGCCTATGTTGTTTGGTGATTAATCTCCATTACCTGGGACTTTGGGAACATTTAATAAATATTCAGTGAATGAATATAAAAATTCTATGGCTTACTGCATAGCAATCTATTCCAGAATCTCTAAAATGTTATCGTAGGTCATTGCCAAGAGTAATTACTATTGTGTTCTACATGTGGCTTGTTTGTTTCCCTCTAGGATTTATTTACATTTTGGAGGGGTATATATTGGGATATTAGGATATTGCAAACTTTTTTTTAGAGAAAGTGATTGTGGTTGGAATTTTAATCCGATTGAGCTATGAAGAATTTTACAATGTTATTTAAGATTAATAGTACTTAAGTAATTTAATGAAATCAAATGAATTTTCCCCCTAATTTACTTTTCACTTCATTTTAATACAGTTTACATTTAATAAGGAGGAGACCTGTAAGCTCGTTTGTACAAAAACATACCATACAGAGAAAGCTGAAGACAAACAAAAGCTAGAATTCTTGAAAAAAAGCATGTTGCTGAATTATCAACATCACTGGTAAGACGTGGAGATTTTAGAGGGGTTTTTTGGCATTTTCCTTTCAGTATTAAACCTCTTCAGTCATTTCACTGGGTCTATAAAACAGCAGATTAATTGATTTTTATTCATTTAAAAAGAGAATTTTTCTTGCCAAAGTTAATAGCTTTGTTTTAAGTATCATCTTTAACTGTGCTTATCTTTCTCTAATAGCTGGTTCTTTGTTGCCATGTAGAAGTATAACAATTTTATTTGTGTATAGTTAACTGGAAGATTTATGCTTTGGAAAGAGGACTTTAAAAAAAAATCATTTTATTAGGCGCTCATACAACTCTTATCACAATCCATACATACATCAATTGTGTAAAGCGCATTTGTACATTCATTGCCC